GCAGAGCGGACGGGTCGGGGGAACACGTTCAGCTCGTGAGTTCCCCGGCGGCCCTGAGACAGTGGGGACGCACCTCCGCGGTTGCCAAGCTAGGGCCGGTAACAGCGGGGGGGGGGTTGCCTAGCAACCGGAGGCCAAACAACGGAGGCGCTAGGTGAGGGGGGTCGCTGCGGGAAGCAGGGAAAGGAGGTGAGAGGGCCAGACAGCTGGGGGCGGAGGGTGCACACTGAGGCCCGCCCTCCTGCCTCCGCGCCAGGACCGGGGACTGACTGAAACCCAAAATGGGGTTCCTGCGCAGGGGAGAGGTGCGGCCGGCCACTGACTCCGACCTCATCTCCCAACTGGGCACGAACACCTGGCCCTGCTCCTACAACCCAGAGCCCAAAGCAGAGGGAAGGCAGAGCTCTTCCCCACCTACTGAGAGAACAGGGCTCAGTCCCTTGGGTCCCCCAGAGACCTGGCCCGAAGCTAAGGGAAGAAGGGAAGAAAGCTCAAGAACTTTGGTGCTGGAAATCGGGGTGGGAACTGGATTAAGGGCTGTTTTCCCTGCCAGCCACGCACAGGCCACTTGGCACTACACACACACATACACACCCTGAGGGACTCCTTCTCCCTTTTTACCTACTCTACTCCAGGACCTGCAGGCTTCAGGGCTCTGTGCTGGGCTTCATGGACAGGAGGAAGAAACCTAGCTAATGCCTCACACAAAGTTGAGTTCAGCGGGAACTTTAGCCCAACAGGCTTCCTGCAGGAAGGGGCTCAGAGCACAGTGGACAGGGGAAGGCCCTTGGAGAGGGTATTTAAGCCAGGAGACAGCCCACTGAAAGGCCCGTTGCATGTTGCTTTCCCTCCATAGGTGGTATCTGGAAACAGGCCTCAGGGTTTCTGGCCTTTGCCCCTGCACCATGGCCACGCTGAGTGTCAAGCCGAGTCAGCGCTTCCGGCTGCTGGACTGGCACACCAACAGCTGCCTGTTGTCCACTAACGCGGAGCGGCAGCGAGATGCTGCCAATCAAATCCGCCAGGAGGCCCGGGTCCTTCGCAACGAGACCAACAACAAGGTTGAGGGTCAGCGCCCCCTTGGTGGGCCAAGGGGCAGCCCTCAATCACAGACACCCTCTTTATCTGTCTCTGTCTCTTCCAGACCATTTGGGATGAACATGACAATAGGACTCGACTGGCAGAGAGGATTGCTACTGTCAACCGATGGAAGGAGAGGCTGGACAAGTGTCTCACTGACCTAGATGTTGAGATTGATGCCCTGACACAGGCAGGGAGCAAGGGCTGGGGCCAGAACACTGCTGTGAAGACCTCCCTTTTGCCCACTTCTGGGTCTGGGAAAAAGTTTAGGGGCATGGATGGCATGGCCATTGGGTCACTCATGGGCCTTGCCACTAAAGCAGGGTTAAAAGCGACCTCCCAGTGTATGGGTTCACCAGTCCCCTGGTCCCTCTGTTTTCTAGATGAAGGATTCAGCAGAGCAAAACCTGCAGGCCAAAAACCTGCCTCTCGATGTGGCCATCGAGTGCCTGACCTTGCGGGAGAGTCGCCGAGACATTGATGTAGTACAGGACCCTGTGGAGAATGAGCTGCACAAAGAGGTGGAGGTCATTGAGGCCAGCAAGAAGGCCTTGCAACAGAAGATTAGCCAGGCCTTTGAGCAGCTCTGGTGAGGCGGAGACAGTCACATGCATGTTCACATGCACTTGAAGGCTTTGTGTCTTGAATGTGGAACCCAGGTTTTGTGGGTAATGCATAAATGGCTTCCTTGTTTCTGCCCCTTCCGTGCTCATGGTGGAAACTACTAAGTGTTCTACTGCCTGGACATGGTCTCAGAAGACAGGACCCTGCTCTAAGCAGCCATTGTGACTTAGAAGCATAGAAACCAGGGCTGGGGATGTAACTCAGCAGCGCTTCGCCTGCCTGGAAAGTGCAAGGTCCTGAGTTCGATACCCAGTACCAAAAAAAAAAGCATAAGAGCTAAAGCTCTAGCTCTCTTTTTTTTTTCTGGTACCAGGGATTGAACTCAGGACCTTGAGAGACAGGCACAGTGCCACTGAGCTAAATCCCTGGCCCAAAAGGAGGCACCTTGAAGCTATACTTCTTTGGTACCGGGGATCAAATTTTATTGGTTTTTTTTTTGAGAGTCTCCCAGCGTAGTTCAGGCTGACCTTGAACTCACTATGTAGCCCAGGCCAGCCCTGAACTCAAGGCAATCCTCCTGCCTCAGCCTTCTGAGTACTGGGATTCCAGGCGTGTGCCACCACTCCCGGCTAGTTGAAGCCCTCTTGCCACCACTCCTGAGTACCTTTGTGTGTGAGAGTGTAGCAGAATACCTGCATCCCACAGGTGCGTGTGAGCACATGGGTGTTGTATTTTCACCTAGGGAAACCTTACCTGTGATAATCTTCATCTCAGCTGCGGCAGCAGCTCCACTGACTTCCACTGGGAGAAGCCATCCCATCTTCCCATTCCTTAATGTTCCTCTGCACAATGAGGGTGACATCCAGGGGCCTAAGTGCTGGCTCCTCATGGTGCTTTTCTTTCCCCAGCCTCCTGCAGGAAGTCCGACAGCAGCTCAACTCTGACCATCGGGGCAAAATGGAGACACTGGAGATCGACAGAGGCTGTCTCTCTCTCAACCTCATGTCCCCAAACATCTCTCTGAAGGTCAACCCCACACGTGTTCCCAATGGGTAAGAAAAATGTTTCAATCACTCTCTCTTCCTCCCCTCATCAGCTGTAGCCAGAAACCTCATTATTTCCTGCCGCCAGCAGCTCCACCACACTTCAGCAGTGGGATGACTTCAGTCAGTTCAACAAGAACCGAGCAGAGGCTGAGATGAAAGCAGCCACCGAGCTGAGGGAGGCCATAGCCCTAACTATTGCTGAGGTGACCAGAGCCCCATAGCCCACTCCCTGAAGGCCAATGGATGTCCCAACAGTGTACTCCACCTTTATCTTTCTTTCTCCGTTGGCCATGGCACCTTCCCCTCATGTAAGCAGGACTCTCATGAGCCTAGGAGCTCAGGCTCTCCCCTTGCTTGGCCTGCTTCTTATCCTGCAGACCAAAAACAATCTCGAAGCCCAGAGGGTGGCAACAGAATTTGCCTTCAGGAAGCGGCTTCGGGAGATGGAGAGTGTGTACAGTGAGCTCAAGTGGCAAGAGAAGAATGTGAGTCCTCCCCTGGGGCCAGCTTCCTCCCCTGGGGCCAGGGCCAGATTCCCTGCCAGGAAGCCCTGGGCTGGGTGTTCCAGCAAGAGTCCAGCTTATCACTCTGTCCTCCGCAGACCTTGGAGGAGGTCGCTGAGCTCCAGAAGGACATCCGGCACCTGGAGGAGGATCTGCAGAGAAAGATGCTGAACCTGAAGCTGTCCCACACTCGGCTGGAGTCCAGAACCTACCGGCCCAATGTAGAGCTCTGCAGAGACCAGGTGCAAGGGCCTCCCAGGGGGTGCACAGGCCTGTTGCTAAGGTGTCCTCAGGATCACCCCTCAGCACATATTCCTGGTGGGGCAGGGATGCTGGCCTAGAGGAGCCCTCAGGCCGGAGGGCTGAAGGACAGTGTGGCTGACCTGGAACTCCCACCCGCCCCTCCGCCTCCAGGTACAGTATGGCCTCACTGAGGAGGTTCACCAGTTAGAAGCGACTATTGCTGCCTTGAAGCAGAAGCTGGCACAAGCACAGTAGGTTTGGGGAGTGGGCAGGAGGGATGGGGAGACACCGGCCACCAATTGGGTCTCTTGCTGCTTGCTGGTGCCCCTGGGCTTTAAGCTGGTGAGTCAGCCCACACCTCTCAGACTCCTGCAGCAGTGGTGGGCTGTCAATGCCTGCCCCCAGGGATGCTCTGGATGCCCTATACAAGCACCTGGCCCGGCTGCAGGCTGACATTGCCTGCAAAGCTAACTCCATGCTGTTGGACACCAAGTGTTTGGACACCCGCTGCAAGCTGACAGTGCCAGCTGAGAAGTTTGTACCCCAGGTGGATACCTTCACCAGAACCACAAACCGCACCCTGAGCCCACTCAAGAGCTGCCAGCTGGAGCTGGCCTAGCGGTGGGGGGGGGCCTGAGGGAGGAGCAGAGGGTTGGGAGGGAGAAGGAGGGACTTGGGGAGGTGATGAACCTAATAAACCTGGAAGTTGTGAGGCCAGCCTGTTCTGAAGGAGGGAGCGAGAGGGTGCTTGACCCCTCTGTGTATGGAGGAGCCAAGATCTCAAATTTCACATTCCAAATCCGATTCCTTTCCTCCCCCGGGACACTCTCTGTGCCCAACTCTGCCCCAGCTCGCCCCTTGCCTGCCCTTTTGATGCCCCGGGGAAGCCCCAGCCTAGGCTTATAGCGGAATGGCTTCAGGGAAAAGGTGGCCCACGTCAGAGTGGTGTCAAGAGCCCAGGCCGTGGGGGTGCTGAGACAAGAGTACTCGCCCGTGAGACAGTAGCTAGAGTGACCTCCTGGTCTGACTCAGTGGCCGCCTGCCAGGTCGTGACGCCGTTAACACGTGGGAAGAGGGAGCACAAAAGCAAAACTAGCAGGGAATGCGCGGCGCCGCAACTCCAGGCCGCGGAGCGGCGCGGTAGGACGCGAGCGGCGCGGAGGCTCCGAGCCACCGGGGGGCGCTGTGGGGGTGCGGCGGCGCCCCCGGAAGTGGCGACTGGGCAGCGGACGGATGGCGGCGGTAGCGGCGATGACGGCTGCAGGCGGCGGCGGGGCCGGAGCAGCCCGCTCCCTCTCGCGCTTCCGAGGCTGCCTGGCTGGCGCACTGCTCGGGGACTGCGTGGGCGCCATCTACGAGGCGCACGACACCGTCAGCCTAACGTCAGTCCTGCGTCACGTCCAGAGCCTGGAGCCGGACCCCGGCATGCCGGGCAGCGCGCGGACAGGTGGGCGGGCCCCTAGGAGTGGGCAGGTCGCGGCCCCGGGGTGAGCGAGGTGCTCTCGTCTTCGCCGAGACCCCACGGCCGAGGACACCGGGATGCGGCGTGGCCGGTCCGAGCTCCGTCTCCACGAGTCTCACCCATACCTTTCCCTGGCGCGGCCGTGCAGACCTGATCGGGCGTCGTTCGGTAGAGCCGGTGTTTGCGCCCCGGCGGACCCGTTTCGCCCAGTGCCGACTGTCACGTGCTCCCAGCCCATGCCCCACACAGCGGGCAGCAATCCTCCCCAGGAGCAACCCCCCCCCCCGCGGAAAGCCTCAGCGCGTCCCATCTGGCACGCCCACGCCCGCGTCTCTCCCTTCTTCTTGGGCTTGCTTTCCCACTTTGGTTCCACTCACACCATGCTTCCTCCCCCCAGGCCTTTGCCTGTGCTGTCACTTGCCTGTAAAGTCATCTCCCCTTCCCTGTGCCATCACCTGGAATAGGAAGGAAAAGGCGCCGTCATCAAAAACCCCCTGAAGAACACTCGGGTGTGCCAGGCAGATAGAGGTGGGAGGGGAGGTAGGGAAGGAAATATCTGAGAGGAAGAGAAGCAGGAGGGTTATCAACAAAATTTGAGAACAGAATTTCAAGATGAAGACGCTGGTCATCTGTGTCATCCTGAAGAAAAGTAGAGGAAAGTCTGGACTCATTTCTAGTGAGTTAAGGAGGAAATCGAAAAGGAAAACAGTATTGTTGGGTGCTAAGGGAAGGTGAGAGATTAGCTGTAGTTGAAGTAAAGACAAGATAGAGGGATAGGTTTTTGTTTCATTGTTGGTTTGATGTTAAGGTAAGGAAAAACATGTTTAAAATGAGAAGTTTTTTAGGACCCTGTAGATGCAAGTGACAGAAAACCTAATTTAAAAGGGCCAAAGGTAAAGGGCACAGATTGGCTGACATGACTTGAGAAGCCCAGAGGTAGGTCTGGCCTCAAACAGCTGAGTCCAGGGGTTCAGGCTGTTTGCTAAAGGCTCGGTTCCTCTCCATTGCTCAGATCTGCTTTCTTTGGGTGGGCTCCATTCATTCTGGAAACCTTCTCCTGAGGCACTTCCAGAAGCTCCAGCAGGGGAATTCCCCTTTCCTGTGGCAAACAAAAGTCCCAAATTGAACCCTACCAGCCTGCCTCAGGTCCTGTACCTATCCCTAATTAAGGGATGAGGTGTGCTGTTTGATTAGGCAAGAGGTAGGTCAGCTCTGGGCTCAGGTTGCTGTGAATGGGCCAAAGTGGCTCCCTAGGGAGGAGCAGGATACAGTGACCAAATGGAGCGAATAGATGCTGTCCCACTGCAAAGGGAGAGAGGGGATAAAGAGCAAGGTCCCCCAGGAATGGGGTGGCCTTCACCTTGAGTCTGGAGGGGAGCCTGGAAAGTACAGCTGTGGAGGAGATGGCCAACCGTCCTAGTAGTAGGAGGGGAAGGGTTTGGGGCTTGGGATGGATATGCCAAACACTGAACTAGGGATGTTCTAGAACTAGAGATGGCGAGGGAACTTACCAGGGAGTCCACTTCATGGTCTCTGACTGTCTGGTCTCAAATAAGGCCAAGATCTGTCTCTGGCCTACTGTCCCTAGCCTATTTGTGCCATGTAGAAGTTCTAGAACGGTGCTTCCAGGCAGCCAGAGGAAGAAGAGATAGATACGGTGGGGCATGGGGTGGGGAGAATTCCCAGCCGGAAAGGACCTGATCCAAGCACCAGGATTGCTTCTGGGGGTATAGAGGGGAACAGTGGGATAGAATGTGGGTGAAGAAATAAGGGGCCAGGCTGGGAAGACCTTTGAATGCCAAGGTCTTGAATTAGGACCGCATCCTGAAGCCAGCCATGTTGAGCAGGAGTGAGAGAGGGAAGGTGAGCGATCTGGTCAGGAGGAGGAATGTTCTGGCTGCATGTACAGCTTGTACTGGAGAAGGGGATACATGTAGGTGATTTGAGAGGCTCTGCCAAGCACATTAAGATGAGCTGCAGTAATAGCCACAGAAAGGGATGGAAGATTTTTCTTTAGAAATCATCAGGATGTCGTGTCTGACTTGGAATAAAGAATTGCTGGAAATGTTGAGGAATCCTACAGCCGAGGACCCTGGAGTGAGAAGCCGATGTGAGATCATAGTGCTTCTAAGAGGACTGAGTGGGAAGCTGTCACCCCGAAGTCCTGCACCCTGCTCTCACCCCCACCCTCTCTCCACAGAAGCACTGTACTACACTGATGACACCGCCATGGCCAGAGCCCTCGTGCAGTCTCTGCTGGCCAAGGAGGCCTTTGATGAGGTGGACATGGCTCACAGGTGAGGGGAGGGGCCTGGGGTGAGGAGAGCCAGGCGGCAGTTTCTGTGCCCTGGACAGAGGACTGTTGTCTGCTTGCCTGGGCCCCTACCTTCAGCAGAACCCTGTTTCTTAGGCTGATGCAGCTTCCCAAGCTAAAAGTGACAGCACTGCTGGGACAACAGATGCCTTAGGTCCCCAAGACTGCTTCTTTCTCCAAACCAGCCCAGACTTTTCCCATCCCTGGGAGGCATTTTTGAAACCCCAGTTCTGCTTGTCCTGCTCCCAGGTTTGCCCAGGAGTACAAGAAAGACCCTGACAGAGGTTATGGGGCTGGAGTAATCACCGTCTTCAAGAAGCTCCTGAGTCCCAAGTGCCACGATGTCTATGAGCCCGCCCGGGCCCAGTTCAATGGGAAGGGCTCCTATGGCAATGGGGGTGCCATGCGGGTAGCAGGCATCCCCCTGGCCTACAGCAGTGTCCAGGATGTGCAGAAGGTATTGGGGTTGGGCTAGCTCCTGGAGTCCCCCGCTTTGTCTGCAGCGTGTATGCGGCATGACAGTGGCTCCTCCTCTCCCTAGTTTGCCAGGCTCTCAGCCCAGCTGACCCACGCCTCCTCCCTGGGTTACAATGGTGCCATCTTGCAGGCCCTGGCTGTGTACTTGGCTCTGCAGGGTGAGTCCTCCAGCAAGCACTTCCTCAAGCAGCTCCTGGGCCACATGGAGGAGCTGGAGGGGGATGCCCAGGCTGTCCTGGATGCCAGAGAGTGAGTATGGGCTGGAGGTAGGGCTAAGTATGCTCATGGTGGGGAGGGGTATCTGGCATCACCAAAAAGCAGAAGGTGCCTTCTTCCCATTGCATACCTTAAGGAGGGGTGGGAAGAGACGCCTTTGCCTTGACTGGATTTCAAGGCTCTCAGGGTCCCAGAGAATAAAATGGCTCACACCTGAGACTGTCCTTTCAGGATATCTGTGCCTGTGTGGGAGCCTGGCACATCCCTGTTCACTCTTATATGAGATCTTTTCTCTGCCCACGGCCTCCGCTCTGCTGCTCTTACCTCCCTGAAATCTCCAAACCCACAGGTTGGGTATGGAAGAGCGTCCATACTCCAGCCGCCTGAAGAAGGTTGGAGAGCTTCTAGACCAAGACTCAGTGACTCGCGAGGAAGTGGTGTCTGAGCTAGGTGGGTGGATTTATTCTCACACACCCATCATCCTTTGGGGCCAGACTTATGCTCAGTAGAGAAGGGAGCCTGGACCCGAGCCTGGCGTCAAGTTAGACCTGGGCTGCTATGACAGTCAGAGCCACTTTCTATAAGGTCTCTGGCAGGGTTGCAAGCACAGCACCTTCTTGCTTTAGAATTATAGCACCGGATTGTGTCTCCTGCTGGTTGCCAATTTTTACAGCTAGTGTGCATCACAGATGTCTATTTACCTAGCCCTTTTACTGTGTACTAGGCTCTTCGTAGAATCCCTTACAGACAGGACCTTACGTCATCCTCACAACAGGCCTGGGAAAGAGCGACTAACTTTACTCACTCTCTACACTGAGGTATCAAGGCCAAGGACAGGAATCTTAGTGATTAGGTAACTTTCCCAGGCATGAGGCAGTCCTGGGGCAGGCAAGATTTCAACCCAGGTAGTTTATTTTTTTGGTACCAGGGATCAAACTTGGGACCTTGTGCTTGTGAGGCAGGCTGTGGAACCACTGAGCTAAATCCCCGGCCCCCAACCCAGGTAGTTTAACTTCATAGCCTGTGATCTTAATCACAGCCCTGCTTGAAGCCAAGACTGTTGAGTTGTGGCAAGTGGCAGGAAGCCTAGTGGTGGGGGCCAGGTCAGTTTCCTATGATCTGGCTTCCCCGCAGGGAATGGCATTGCTGCCTTTGAATCTGTGCCCACCGCTATCTACTGCTTCCTGCGCTGCATGGAGCCTGACCCTGAGATCCCCTCTGCCTTCAACAGCCTCCAAAGGACTCTCATCTATTCAGTCTCACTTGGTGGGGACACAGACACCATTGCCACCATGGCTGGGGCCATTGCTGGGGCTTACTATGGGATGGATCAGGTGCCAGAGAGCTGGCAGCAAAGCTGTGAGGGCTATGAGGAGACAGACGTCCTGGCCCAGAACCTGCACCGAGTCTTCCAGAAGAGTCTGTGAGGGCACAGCTGCTGGGGCTCTGCCATGTCCAGCAGGACTAACCACAGCTCAGAGGTCCCCCAAGCTGGCTCCCCTGCCTCAGTCTTCCTGCAGTGCAGGGGGTAGGGTGTGCACCCTTGGTGCTGGGGCTCTGGTTTGTTGCAGAGCTGCATGACACCCTTGGTGTCCTCAGTGGGGTCCAGGACAGATTTTATTTTAGTGGGGTGCTTACAACATTTTCTTTTTTATCTAGGATATGGAATTTGGGGAAGTGGAAATGACCTGCAGTAGCATCATTTCTCTCTGCTAGGTCTTAGCCAGTTTGCCTGACAGCTGGGCAGGCACCTGCCTACAGCTGCTCTAGGTCCACAGCTGGCTCTCAGCTATCCTGGGGCTGACAGCTTCCAGTGGAAGTCACAGCAATAAACAATCTTCAGTAAATCCAGCAGACTCGTAAGTCTTTCTCCTGTGGCGGCCCAACCTCAAGCTTAGTGTACCTCTGTCTCCTAGGAAACAGGACCCTGTGTGTAGACAGAGCCCTCCAGTTCTTCCAGCCAGCCCAGGTTCAGCGAGGAAGGGCACAACAGGCATAGAATGGTGGCTTTTCCTGTTGAAGATCACTCAGTAGCCCAGGCAGCTAGACCAAATGCTTTGCTAGGGAAAACAGGAAGTAACAAGCCAGTTTTTCCTGCTCTTGGAGCCTGAGTTCCCCGGACAGGATTTAGGACCAGCTGAGCGGGGAATAGGAACCCTGTAGAGGATGCAGAGGATACCTGTCACCAGGCTGCCAAACTGTAGGTGCTAGGTGGACTAAGTGCTGTGCACCTCCTCCTGTATCTTGGGCCCCCACCGGGGCCTTGACTCCCAGAGTTTTGCCCAGCATCCATTTTGGTTTTGTTTTGTGAATTTTTTGCTGGGGTTTATATATTTATTTTTTTCTTTGAGACAGTCTGTGTAGCCCAGGCTGGTCTCGAACTTGCAGTGATCTTCCTGCCTCAGCCTCCTGAGTGCTGGGATTACAGGCATGTGCCACCACACCTGGCTCAGCATCCATTTTGAATAAAGGACAATTGAAGGCAACTCCCTCAAACTAGGGATGTTCTGTGAGCATCCTTCCACTGGGTGGAGAGACGAGCGCACACTACTCTGGCAGGCCTGAGGTCTCAGGACAGTCAGGCAGGCCAGCTTTCAGCCAGGGTAGAGCTGTGTCAGGCCGCGGCGAACTGCAGGACTTCTCAGGCATGGATTGTTTCAGGTGTGCAGCCCCAGGTCCACAGAGTCAGGGACAGGAGCACAACACTGCTGAGCCTGGAGGACTGTAAACAGGTGCTTTGTGTCCAGGTCAGCACCCCCCAGCCCTGTTCTCAGGGTTGGCCCTGACAGAGCTCCGCCCTCAGCAGCAAATATTCATGGAACAACTTCATTCATAATTTGTATCAGATGTTGAAACTTGGCCCTTTTGATCCTGAGCCAGTTGTCATGCTCCACTACCCCTGAGAGCTTTCAGGAATGTTCCAGTGAAGTTCGATCCATCTCCCCCAGCTCCAGCCACTGCCCTGCCCTCCTCCAGTTTCTTAGAATGTCTGTTGGCATTTGCCTGGTGCAGAGTCTCAGCAGTGAGGGCATCAGCATTTCTGAGGTGGTGACAGAACCCTGGGTCAGGGCTGCTGAGGAACACACCCTGCTTGAGATGCAGGAGCCCCGAGAAGTCCCAAGTGCCTTGTGAGACACTGCTGCACACCAATTTCACCACAGCACTGTTTATATGACAGGTTTTATTGAGGTTGTGTCAATACTGTTGTTTTTCTTTTCAAAATGAAGTCCCATTTTTTTTTGTCTCCCCAGTGCATTTTTCCCGATCCCGTGACACAGGGCACATGTAAGTAGAGACCTAAACTTCCTATACCAGGTTAGAAGTGAAATTACTAGTGGGAAACATTTAAACCCTAATCGTAAAAATAAAAATTAGAATACAAAAATGCACAAGGTAATGTATTTTTCATAGTTAAAACCTGACACTGTTTATCAAACCAAGTCAGGTAACTGGATACCTGTACCTCAAATCCATAAACACTTCAGAAACATGAACCACCCTTCTCTAGAGGCTTCAGGAATGAAATCTGGCAGAAGCTGAGCCCTGACACTGCTTTTGGGATCCCTTTGGGACACTGGTTCTCTGCGCTCCCCCTGGGAGCTAATTAATTTCTGCCAATCAGCACCCATCCTTAAGGAGTCAAATACAGTGGCTTTCAACCAGGGAAGGGGGTGGCTGAGCAAAGACAGGACCCCACCAGGCCTGTTGAGACTCCTTAGTTGGTTCTCTCAGGTGTCCGGGAGGAAGAAGTCCACCGTGAACCCCAGGCAAAACCTTTTCTCAGTTTCACTTGGACAGATTCGGATTTCCATTCCTCCCTTTGAAAGATAAAGTAGCCTGCTTTGGAGAAGTTGTGGGCAGGGGAGGAGGGCTGTCAAGGAGCTGGGGGAACCACAGCTTAGCAAATCAGAAGTCATCAGTCGTCCTCCCCTTTCAACATAGTCTGGCTTTGGCCAGTCAGAGCAGTGCTCACACTTGGTGCAGGGAGGTGGTTAGCTTGGTGAGGGGTAAGTGAAGCCTCAAATGGTGGGGCAGGTGGGTGACCATCCTCCCATGGGGCACTGGCCACCATCAAAGCTTACACTGGGGGCCAAAGAGCCGGGTGGGGCTGTTCCCTGAAGAGGCGCCCTGACTGGGGAGAATGGCGCACACATCCAAAGGCAGCCCATTCCAGGACGACTGCAGCACCCTTCCCCTCAGAGCCTCGGCCTCCCGGGCCCTAATCCTGCTTCGAACAGGAAATTGGAATCAGAGGTGGAGGCAGAGGAAGCCCCCACAGATTAACCCTCTAGTAGAGACACATATCTACCATGTGGTTCTTATTAAGGAAAAGCAAGTGGGAGCTTCATCCCTGCGCTTGGGCGCCCCTTGTTCAGGACACTGAATGAGAGGTGCTCTGCCTTTGAGAACTTGGGTTGGGGATGGCAAGGATCCTTTTACAATCTGGTATGAGGAAACTGGCCCACGCCCAGCAGGTGAAGGGGAGACGGGCGAGTACTCATGCTTGTTGCCCTCAGTCCTGCCTGCTGCCACTCATCACAGTGCATGGCAGTCCCCAGGGGCCTGTGCATTGTCCTTGTGCTAAACGAAGCTGGAAGATGGAGGGGCTGCTGTCCTGCCCCAGATCCACGCTCCTACCCTTCACAGACCACCTTTCCCCATGACTGTCACTGCAGCAGAGAAAGGGTGTCACCCCTTCCCAGAAGCCTGCAGAGAGGCCATACAACTGCCCCTGTCGTGGACAGGCCCCATGCAGCAGCAGCAGCAGCATCCTGGGGTTGGGTTCCTGGCAGGGTGTCCACACTGACCACCTCAAGGGTCATGCTGCTTTTCTCTCTTTCCCCTGAAGATGACCCACTGTCACCTGTAGGATGTCCCCAGGGAGCTGGAAGAGCCCCACTCCTAGAGCAGGTGCCCTCCAGGGGCCAGCAGGCAAACAGATGAGGGAGCCCCGTCCCTCCTGGCTCTGTCAGGGACCAGCAGTATCCGGGACTTGTGGGGGCCGGGCCGAGTATCCTAGGGTCCTGCAGGCCAGGGTCAGGGATGCAGCCCTGACACTGTTCAGACATCTCGGGGGGAACTCAGATCAGCCCCTTCCAGAAAATCTCAGCCACGTGTAGGGGCCAAGGCCACCGCCGCCTCTGTTCAGCCTGTGGTCTTTTTCTTTAAATGGAGGTCTTTGTAACTGAAAAGGTCGCTCTACCACTAAAGAGGAGGCCAGGGCAGCGGGGCTGCCCACGGGTTATGTTGGGCAGAGCAAGAATCCTGAAAAGGAGGAGTGGATGTACTCGGTGGAATAGAGTCCGTTGGCCTGGTCTGAGGGCATCTGCACCCAGACCTGGTCGTTGGGCCGCAGCTGGAGCACAGCACCCCCAGACGCTTGGTCCAGGTAGCCCTTCTTGTACTCATCATAGGTGTAGGTAGCCGGCACATTGTTCTTGTACAGGGCCACCCACACATTGGTGCCCTTGACATGCACGTGGTAAGCAAAGTAGTAGACACCACCCACGGGGCAGGTGAAGATGCCGGTGGCTGGGTTGTAGCCGCTGTGGCCATTATACAGAGTCCGATCAAACCTCACAGGCATCCCTGAGGCAGGGAAGGGGGAAGTGAGCACCGCAGTGAAGGCTGGTGTGGCGTGGCCTGAGAGCTCACCCAGCCTGAACTGTGGCTTGCCCCCCTTGCCCAGCACAGCGCCCTCCACACCACCGTTGGGCAGATGCAAGCCTGCGATGCCAGTCTCATCAAAGGCCCCTGGGGCGCCAGGGGGGCCGGGAGGCCCAGGAGGCCCAGGAGGGCCCGTGAGTCCTGGGGAGCCAGGGACACCAGGGGGCCCTGTGGGCCCAGCAGAACCAGGTTCCCCCATTTTCCCCTCCCCAGGGGGCCCTGGCAGGCCTGGTTCACCCTTCAGGCCTGGAAGACCCTGGGGCCCTACAGGGCCAGCTGGACCCTGGAGTCCTGGGATTCCTGAGGGGCCTCGAAGGCCAGGCTGCCCAGGGAGCCCCAAGTCGCCCTTCTGCCCAAGGGCTCCTGCTGCTCCTGGTCCCCCGGGGCGACCTGTGAAACCCGGCTCACCCTTGGGCCCAGCTGGTCCAGGGGGTCCATGGGCTCCAGGAAGTCCCCTCTCACCTGGAAGCCCAGGTTTACCAGCCAGGCCACTGGGTCCTTGGTCACCCCGAATGCCAGGTACTCCTAGGGGTCCTTCCGGACCTGCCTCCCCCTTTGGCCCAGGAGGCCCACGTCTGCCAGGAAGCCCTGCAGACCCAGGAGGTCCCGGGGGGCCCCCAAGGCCCTGTGGGCCCTGCTCTCCTGGCTCCCCATCCTCCCCTGGCTCACCCCTGTCCCCCAACAGCCCTGGGATCCCAGCTGGGCCCCTGTCCCCCTTGGGGCCTGGGAGTCCTGGCATCCCATAACCAGTGGGACCTAGCAGGCCAGGGGGACCCCGGGCCCCTGGCTCCCCTTTAGCCCCTGCTGGGCCTTGGGACCCAGGCACCCCTGCTGCTCCCGGCACACCCACACCATCTACCCCAGGGGGACCTTTTGGACCCACAGCTCCTGGCTCCCCCCTCAGGCCTGGAACTCCAGGAGGCCCAGACCCCCCTTTGTCTCCAGGGGCCCCAGGTAGCCCATCCAAGCCTGGGTGGCCCACACCTGCTGGGCCTGGGAGGCCAGGGGGCCCAGGAGCCCCACCCTGCCCAGGAGCCCCAGGCAGCCCTGGTTGGCCCACTCCATTATCCCCCTTGATGCCTCGATCTCCTGGGGGCCCAGGTTCCCCTTGGGGCCCTGGTTCCCCCCGGAATCCTGGGGGGCCTGGTACCCCCTGGGGACCTGGTTTTCCAGGAACAGTAATGCCCGAGGGGCCAGGGAGGCCAGGGGGTCCTGGGGGTCCCCAGAGACCCTGGTCTCCTCGTATCCCCGGCTCTCCTCGAAGTCCTGGCTGCCCTGGTGGTCCAACCTTGCCAGGAAGCCCAGGGGGACCAGCCTTGCCCATTCGAGAGAAGCCAGGGGGGCCGGCAGGGCCAGGCTGTCCATGGAGCCCTGGCTTTCCGGTGCCTGGTTTTCCTGGGAACCCAGGAGGGCCAGGGGGGCCCCGAGGCCCAGGCTTCCCAGGGGGACCTGGCTCTCCTTTGAGGTCCATTGGCAGCAGAGGTAGAGGCATTTCTGTGAGAGAGGGAGAGAGAGAAGGGGGCAGTCAGAGGTGACCCCATCTACCCATAGCAGTATGCGCTACACGGGGGCGGAGCAAGGCCCGATCTGCTCGTTAAGACCACTCCCAACTCCCCTCTCTGCACACTCTGCTCCCACAGGGGTTGCCCAGTGACCATCTTGGGGGCCACAGGGTATCCTTACCAGGGCTCCCAGCACCCAACCTACTCAGTCAGGCTGGGCCTTCCCCATGATTTAAGACAACTTTCTTCCCTGCATGACACTAGGTGGCACCAGCAGCCCGCCTTAAAGCCAGCTGGAGCAGAACCCCCCCCCCCCCGACACAATTCCTCCATAACCTTCCCACCTACCCCCACCTAAACACCACCTGTGCCATCCAGCTGCAGCAGGGGGACTCTAGGCCATCTGAGGCTGAGAGGCCCTGGACAGCCTCAGGAAGAACAGTGGACATGGGAATTCTTTGGTAGGGACGGGGGCTGCAGTGAGGGCCTGCGAGGGTCTGGTGGAGTCAGAGCTGTTTGGTACGAGGTGGGGCAGGGAGGTCTCACCCAGGTACTGGCCCTTGCCCTCTCGGAAGGGTGGTCCCACAGGTCCTTTCTGCATAGGCTGCACGTACTTCACTGGGGCGTAGCCTGCTGCCCCCCCAACCCCGCCACCAGAGGACACCCGTGGCCCACACCCCAGCAGCAGCAGCAGCAGCAGCAAAGGCAGAGGCATCAGAACCCCCTGCATGGCGTTCCCGGTGTGCTGCAGGGAGAAAGGAGAAGTCAGCAAGCCACCCTCTGGGTGACTGGGCAACAGCCCCAGGGGCTCCCATAAAGATCGGACTTTAGATATTACTCATAAGCAACTCCCAAAGCCACACCGGTCTTCAGAGGCTCCCTCCCAAACCTGTCCCAAGCCTGCAGTGGCTCTCCATCCCCACCACCCCTATAGGCCCATGGGGCTCCCAGGACCACAGCTCCCCAAGACAGGGCACTGTGCCTTCTGGAGCACCAGTCCGGCCTCGCAGCATGTTCCCTGCTAAAAACCTTTGATGATAACCCTCACTTCCATTGGCCAGGCCCTGGGGTGAGCTCTTCAGAGATCTGAACTCAATCCTCGAAACACTTGCACAAGTTATTACCGTCAGCTCTACTTCCAGGTGATAAACCCCATCTCAGGTCTCTAGGAAACAGACCCGGGACTTCTTTGGTCCATGTGACTCCATGTCATACTGATGCCCTTCCAGGCTCCTCACTGCCTTCAGGATAAGGCCATGGTCTTTTGCACAGTAGCCAAAGCTTTTTTCTTCTAATACTGAGGAATTGAACCCAGGGGTATTCTACCACTGAGCTGCATCCCTAAACCCCTCCCTTTTTCCTTTTTTAAAGTTTGAGATAGGTCTCTCTCAGTTGCCCAGGTAGGACTCGAACTTGTGATCCTCCTGCCTCAGTCACCCTGGGGTTACAGGTGTGCACCATTGTGCCCAGCAAGCCAAGGGCTTCTAATCTTCTGCTCTGTGCCTGTGTCACCAACCCCACAGCCTATTGCCCCATCCCATCCCCTCCCCTACCTGCACCCTGTAGCCCAGAACTCCTGACAGCGCCCAGACCCCAGGTGGCTCTAGGTGTGGCCTCAGCCCTGGCACAGCCGGGCCATGTGTTCTAGGCACGATTTCTATAGTCTCATCTTCCATTTCTTTTCTTTTCTGCTGTGCTGGGGAGTGAACTGAGGGACTCACACATGCTATGCAAATGTTCTACCACTGAGAGACACCCCAGCCCTTGGCTTCCATTTCTGCACCTGTAGAATGGGTTCTTCTTTGTGTGGGCTTCCTGAGTGTGAGTTGAGGCCTGAAGTCCTGAGCCAGGGCCTGGTCATACAGAGCCTGAACGCAGTAGGTGCTGCTGTCCTGAGGCCCTGGGAAGGCTGGGTGACCTCCAAGCTGCAGAGCAGGTTAGGGGTGGAGCTAGGATTTGAACCGGGAGCTGGGTGGCAATCTGTGGATTTCTCCAGAGCCTACCTTCATTCCTGCAGAGCTACAGTGACCCCGAGCTGGGGGCCCAGCCCCTACCAAGGAGGGCTTTGCTCCCCACAGGACTCCCTGAGCCCCAGCCACTGCCAGGCACTGGTGCAGAGCCCCCAGGTGAAGTGAGGGTACCTAGAGCAGGGGTGTGAAGGAAAGGGGATTTCCTTGGGTCGGAAATGCAAACAGTCCCTCATTCGAATGATGGGTGCCAACTCTGAGCCAGGTGCCATATCTCTACTTGTCACAATAGCCCTAAGAAGCAGGTTGTTTACTCTCTTTTAAAAAATAACAAGTCTAGCTAGGCACGATGGTGCATACCTATAATCTCAGCCCTTGGGAGGCTTGAGCTGAGGAGTTTGGGGCTAGCCTTGGCAAGTAAGACCTTGTCTCTTGAAGAAAAATGAAGCAGGAGGAGGAGAAGAAGAAAAGGGAAAAGTCCACTGTATGGATACAGCTCATCTTGTGTTTTGAGCCCTTCGTAAGGGCTCGGCTTGGAGCCCTTATGAAGAATGCTGTGGTGAGCATTCCTGTCATTATCACCCAAGCTCCCCATGGCGAGTGGAAGACCCGGAGCCTGGGCCTCTTCCCACCCAGGCCTTGCTCCCCAGCTCTAAATGCTGTGTCAGGGACAGGCTGGGATGCAAGGTGGTGAGAACTGCCAGAAGACTTCATACACAGGGGCTTTGAAGGATGCGTAGGAAACTAACCTCGTAGGCAGGAATGGCAGGTGTCAGGTCAGAACAAGCCAGGCAGCTTGACTCCCAAGCCCGCCCTAACTCCGCTCTCCTGGCCACCTGAGCTCACACTCCCCGCCCCTGTGAGGCAGGAGGCAGAGCCAAGAAGTAGCTTCTGGCTTAGGTATGCCAGGACCAAGGTCATGACACCACCAAAAGAGAAGCCAGGGCAGCCCTGGCTCTGGGGAGGCCCAGCCCACGTTCCACCCTGAGGTAGAGGGGTAGTGGGGTTCCAACGAAAGGGTACAGAGCCAGGCACAGACAGTGCCAGGGTGCCAAGCAAGCAAGGAGAAGGGCCCCCTAGCGAGATGCCTACCTTTTATCCCTCCTTGGTAAGGGGGGTCCTCCAGGAAGTGTCCTACAACCCAGGCCCTGTGGCTCCCAGCACCTTCTACCTAGTACTCTCTGTGTGTATGTGTGCACTCACCCACACAAGAGGTCAGAGACCAGGTCAGGTGCCAGGAACTGAGCTGGCATTTCCACAAGGAAGAGAATAAATGAGGACCACAGCTCAGAAGCCAGGTGTCAGGTGCCACCTAAAAAGTTCTGCACTGAAGATGTTTAATTCCCAGTGTCCAGAGAAAGAGATGCTATTACACATGCCCATTCTACAGATGGGAGACTGAGGCTCACAGCAGCATGGAGATGTGTACACTGGCCAGGAAAGGACAGAGGATGGGGAAGGACAAGGGCAGAGAGGGAGTCAAGAAGCAGAGCAGCTGGGAAGGCGGGCAGGTTGGAAGGAGCGGCTCTCCTCAGCTGCAGGGATGTTGCTGGGCTCCAGGATAGAGAGGGAGTCAGGACCGGTAGATGGGTGTGGGACTGGGGGTGGAAATGAGGAGGGTGCTGAGCCTCCCCAGGGGATGCAGAAGGAAATGGTACACAACTTGGCGGCCTGCCTGCCCCAGCCACTGAGCCCCAAGCTCACCTGCTCCCTGTCACTGTAGCCCCACACACACACTCTGGCTCCCTGGGGCGCTCCGGTCTGCTCCCTCACAGCTTCTCCACCCGGAGCTCTAGCTGGGCCTTGCATACCACAGAGAGGCTCACTGCATGGGTGCCTCCTTTGGGCTCCACTGTGGCTCTCCCACTCTCCAGTCCTCACACTGCCCCACTGCATGCCCAGCACAGGGCCTGGCAGGCATAGCAATGCTCTAAATGACTGATGAACTCAATTCACCATCACATCCATCCATCCATCCCATCTGTCTCCAGCTCCCCCCACTCCAGCCCTAGACTTGTGTTCAAATATCAGCCAAGCGTTCTCGCCTGGCTTCCCTCAGATGCCTCCACCCAAACTGCTGTCATTTCCTTCTCACTCTTTACTTACTTCTCCCCAACCCCAGGTACCCAGGCCAAACTGTGAACATCCCTGCTGACCCTGCCTTCCCTAGGGAGTTAGTCTCTAACCTACAGAATGCCTTGGTGCCCTTCCTTTAAGCCACCTCAGCAGGGTGGGGCAGAGGGCCTAACGGATGGGATGGAGAGTGGTGGTACACCCACAATCCCAGCACTCAAGAGGCTGAGGCAGGAGGCTCAAAAGTTTGAGGCCAGGGCCGGGGATTTAGCTCAGTGGTTCCACCGCCAGCCTCACAATCGCAAGGTCCTGAGTTCAATCCCCAGTACCAAAAAAAAAAAAAAAGTTTGAGGCCAGCCTGGACTATGTAACAAGACTCTGTCTCAAAATAGAGCCACACACAATGGCCCATACCTGTAATCCCAGCACTCTGGGAGGCTAAGGCAAGGAGCAAACCCAGCCTGGGCAATTTGGTGACAACCTGTCTTAAAACAATATGGAAAGGTTTTCGAGTGTAACTCAGTGCAAAGGCCCTGGATTCAATCCCCGGCACCACATACATACAGACATTCATAAATAAAACTTTAAAAGGAGATATAGTGATGTAGCTCAGGGGTAGAGCGCTCCTGGGTTCAATCCCTAGCACCAAAAGAGAAACAGCCCACTCAGTCCATACTTTCCTCAGACGCCCCACAGACACATCTCAGCAGGCCAGAGCGGCTCAGACCGGCTAGGAAGGAAAGAGGTGGGAGGAGCAATGAGCTTATTCCTTGTTTTCCCCACGTGGAATTCCAAGCCAGGGGTCAGGGGGAGGATCCTGAGGCTTAAACCAGCTCTCCCAGTGACTGGCTGTGTGACCTTGGGCAAGTCATCGTGCTCTCTGGTGACCTGGGGAAGTGAAGACAGGAAGGAGGCAGGGCTGGAAAGGGCACGGATCCTACCCAGGGTGGGGGCCTGAGGGACGCACTCAGGAGACGCTGATTCAGGGGATTGAGCAGTGGCGACGGCGGGGGTAGACATGCTGTTTGGACAGCTGCAAGTCCTTAATGGGGATTTCCCCCCTTTTCAACAAATCCCCGTAAAATAGCCTTTCGTCCAAGTCAGCGTTTTGTGGTAGCCTGGCCTCCTCCCAGGGAGGCTGGCTGGGAGCGGGTGCTCCAGGGTCTTTCGGACCAAGAGGGCAAGTGGGGCTCAGCAGAAACGAGCCCCCTCTCCTGGAAGTGGCCAGCAGGAAGGGGCACTGTCAACAGTGACCCTCTCTCAAAGGGGAATGTCTTAGGGTGACTGGCAGAAGAGGCCCAGGTGATCCTGTCAGACTAAAAGAAATGTCCTCTCCCCATCCCATTTCACAGATGAGCTATCAAGGTCCAGACAGAGGGAGGGGGTGTGGAGAGGGAGTGTCACCCTGCTTCCCAGTGGACCATGCAGTGGGAGGCAGACATGGCCCAGGCACCCCTTTGGGGAAGGTGGGTGGAACCTGCCCCTCGAGGAATTCTACCCCCTCCCACCACCCAGCCAGCAGCACAGTGGTGAGAGCGGTGGGGAGCCTTGGGGAGCCCGGCCGGCCAAACCACAGGTATGTTATGAGATGCTTCCTGTTGTGGAGACATTTCTTCGGGATCCACTGCCCGCAGCTCACTGCTGCCTGCCAGCCGCCTGTCTCCCCACTCCCCCACCTCGTCCTCTGCACTCTCCCTGGTCTCCAGCCTTGATTCCACTCTCTGCCCTACCTTGGCACCTCACCAGTGGAGCAGCAGCTCTTGCTCGGGCTCTGGCTAGATGGGGTCTGGCACAAGGCCCCCTAAGGCCTTCCTAGGTGCAGGCAGCCCCTGGACTCCAGCACAGCTCCTTCCAGCTGGGTGACACTGGGCATATGACTTAACTGCTCTGGCTCTCAGTGCCCTCATCTGTAAAAGAATCATTTGAGATCACCTGAACCAGTGGCCCTTCCCTGAGTGCCGCCCTGCCCTGCTCCTGAGAGCTGGGAGTCCTCCCTTCAGACTAACTACATATCCTCCTGCTACGAAGCAGCACCTTTCTTCCACCCCTTCAAAGGGAGGTGACTGGCTACCAAAGGCCAAGGCCTGGTGAAATGAATCCCTAAATTTTCTAGGGTTTGTTTTCTGGGGTTTCTTTGGAGACAGGGTCTTGCTATGTAGCCCAAGGTGGCCTCAAACTTGAGATTTTTCTGCCTCAGCCTCTGAAGTGCTGGGATTACAGGGACTCACCACCATGATTAATCTTCTGACCTTTTGTTGTCACCATTTTTTTCTTTTGGTACCGGAGATCAAGCTCAGGACCTTCCACTTTTGAGGCAGGCGCGCTGCCACTGAGCTAAATCCCTGGCCCTAATTTTCTGGCTTTCTAGACCTTTTCTCTGACCAGTCCTGAGATGAAACTGACCAGGGGCCACAGAGCCCACCCCCCATCCCCTGGGCATGAGATCTGCCGCCACTCCCCCACTGGGCAGGCCAGACTTCTCCAGGACTCCCAACTCCCCACTCACCCCATCTCTCCCAGGCCTTTCCCAGCCTCCTTTCCTTGCCTTCTCAGGGGCCCCTGCCTGTTTTCTGCCTCTCCATCCACATGTCCACCTAGGCCTGGCCCTCCTCACCACCCTCACCTCTCCAGGCCTCGCCAGCCAGGCTTCTGGAAGGAACTGTCAGACTCCTCCCTCCCCGTGGCTCCTCACACGACCTGGCACCTCCCGGGCCTTGCCTCTCACCTGCTCTCCTTCCTGGAAAGGTTCCCTGGGGGACGCCCCTCAGACCTCTTCATAGCTCCTCTCTCCTCTCTGGGTGTTTCTCCTGTGGTTTCCAGCACTCCCGGCTGCTGGGCTCCATCCACCCCCAGGGACTCTCCCATCTGTCTCCAGCTCCCCCGACTCCGGCCCTAGACTTGTGTTCAAATATCAGCCAAGCGTTCTCGCCTGGCTTCCCTCAGATGCCTCCACCCAAACTGCTGTCATTTCCTTCCCACTCTTTACTTACTTCTCCCCCACCCTAGGTACCCAGGCCAAACTGTGAACATCCCTTCTGACCCTTCTTCCTTCGCTAGGGAGTTAAAGAGTCTCTAACCTACAGAATGCCTTCGTGCCCTTCCTTTCAGCCAACTCTGCCTCTACTCATTGCCTTTTGCAGTGCTCTTGTGCAGTAACCAACCTGCGTGAAAACACAGCACACGCTCCTTTCCCTTCAAACCCTCGGGGCTGGGGATTTAGCTCAGTGGTTTCACTGCCTGCCTCGCAAGCACAAGGCCCCAAGTTCGATCCCCAGTACCAAAAAAAAAAAAAGAAGGCCATCTCCTTCAAACCCTCAGTCTAATCCTACGGACTCTGTCTCCTCCATTTCCCTCACTTCTGTTCCTTCCCCACAGCCTCTGTCCTAATAGAGATCTTGTACTCCCCCAAAATCCAGCCCAGTCCTGGCACATCCCAGCCACTCAGTAAAGGTTTGTTAAATAGCCAAACCTTACCTAGATGGTCATAAAAATCTCTCACTGAGCCCTCAGTCCCTGGCTTCTCTGTTTTCCTCAATACAGCTTACACAGACTCCTACTAGCTTCTCAAACTTCAGCCTGCATCAGAACCATGGGGACAGCTGCAGCACATGTTCTCAGCCCCATCCTGACTCTGAAGCAAGGCCAATGCGTGCATCTCTAATCCGCTCCAGGCGATGCTGACACTATCTGTGGTCAACTCTTTGGCACAGCTCTGCCCATGCCTCTCCCCTGCTCTGGGCTCTCCAGCAGCTCCCTGGTACTGACAGGATAAAGTCCATGTTATTCTGCAATTCCTGTGGCTTCCAGGAGGAGAAGCACACTTTAGACTCAAAGTCGTGAATCAATTAGGAAGGAGGGAAAGGCGGGGGGCTGACAGTGAGTCCTGCAGAACACTGGTGAGGCCTAAGAGCCGTGTGCTCAGAATGCCAGAGACCAGCTCATGGAAGCAGGAGCCACATGGGTGGGTACTATGCTGTCTTGTGTCCCTTTCTCCTTATCTGTGTCATTGAGTCCAGGTTTTTGCCCCTGTGCCTTGGGGTTCTCTGTCTCCATCCTCCATCCTATCTGTACACCACCTCCATCTGGGACTACCTTTCTCTGTCCCCTCCCATGTCTTTGTGCCTCGCTCCCTGAGTTCTGCAGCTGTCAGTCACTTGGCAGGACCCTCTGCCAGCCATTTTGGTCCACATCTCATGTTCACCTTGGGTCTGTGCTTGCCCTCTCTGGATGATACCTGAGCAGCCCACAGGGTCTGGCAGCGACTTGGGTGTCTGGTGTCTATGCTGAGTCACTGAAAGACTCTCAGACCCCCAAATTTAGACATGCAGGTGAGGCTGCTCCAAAGCCAAAGAGCTGGCTGGAATCTGGGAGGCTGTGTGATGACCCCTCAACTCCCAGGTAGAGGCAGGGCAGGAGTGTGCCCTTGCCCATCTTCTCTGCCCTACCAAAACCCAGTTTCAGTTCCATCCAAAGCCAAGCATCTCTCACCCTGGCAAACAAGGTCCCCAGGCTACATGGGACCTCAATTTTGGAAGCAGTTAGAAGGTGGCCTAAAGGACAAGTCAGAATTTGCCCAGCCCTGAGGAACAGGTGATGGCAGGACAGTCCAGGCCGAGAGCACAGCAAATGTCTGGATAGTAGGGACATCCGGGAGGCAGTCAGCCTGTGGGTGTGGAACTCGGGAGACAGACATGGGCTGCAGGTAAGAACACAGGCTTGTGGGCTGGGGTTGCTGCAGACTGGCCAACAGCCATGCACTCGCCTTGGGGAAAACGCCCAAGGCTTAGGGAGTGAGGGGAGCCCACCATGACCTGGGCTCTACCCCAGCACCCTAGGGTGAATGCCCCAGACTTCCCACCATGTCCCTAGAACTACCTTTACCTCCATAGCCCTCTCTCACCCTGGATAGCCCTTTCCACCTTCCTCCTCCCACCAAACACTGCTCATTTAAAACCCAGGACAACCACCTCCTCCTCCAAGCAGCCTTCCCTGCCTCCCTCCTTTGGGGCCTGTGCCAGCCACTCTCCCTCTGGATGCCTCCCCTGACTGAGACTGCTACACAGCTTGTGCCCTGACTACCTTGACTCCCAGCTTGGCCCAGCCCCCGGGGTGGCTTCCACCAGGGCTCCTTTCTCCCACAGGCGACAGCCTTCACTTCCAGGCCCCTGGGCCCTGCCACCTCTGCTTCTTCGCTAAACACCCCAACATCCCTGGGGGAGGAGGAGAAGTATCCAGGAAGGTAACAGCAACAGAGGAGCCAGAAGGGGTCAACAGGGGCAGGGCCCAGCCAACTGTGGATCTCCAGGTCCAGCTGGTACCATCGTTTGCCTCTGCCAGGGCTGATTTGAAGGCCCCAGCTCCAGCCACCCCACCTCCCCCAGGCCAGGCAGCGGGAGTACTCCACCTCCTGTCCCTGCCTTCTGGTTCCCATTTGCAGCCTTTTCCAGAGCGCCACCCGGCCCGCTGCGTCCCAGCCTGCCAAGAATCCTGGGCCTCCGCGGCTTCCCTGAGTGGTGGCGGCAGCAAGCAGCAGCAGGAGGGGCAGACTGGAAGGGGGCTGGTGGGAGTGTAGCCAGGCCACTGCACCCAGCCAGGCCAAGCAAATACGGTGGCACTGGGTGAAATAGTTCACAAATGAAAAAAAAGCTGCTTCCAAGCTGGACCAGGGTTTTAAAGCCCAGGCTCAGGAAGCTGAGGTCACCTGCAAGTGGGGCTGCCGCTGGGACACCGGGTCTGGGAGGGGCCTCTGCTGCGGCAGGAGGGAGTTTAGACAGCATCAAGCCCAGGCCTCCTCCAACCTGGGAGATCAGAAAGCTCCCCGCAGAGCTAGCTTACCTTTCAGGTCAGGTCAGAGGGCTGGGAAAGGTCCCAGTAGAGGCAGGGCCTGAGGACAGAGGAGAGCCGCAGTGAGGAGATGCCAGGAGTTTGCGGAGCCCACACACTCACCCACAGGCTCCCCAGCCTGCTGCACGGCTTCCAGTCAGCAGTGCTGCTACAACTCGGGGCCCACCTCAGCCTGGCTTCTCAGGTCCCCTCCTCCCAGGGAGTACCACACCCTCCCACTACTCTGCACTCCTCCTGTGCACACTGAGCATTGCCTGCTGGGGCTGGCCCACAGTTCACCAAGTTCCTCCTGTCCTGGAGCCCAGGCTGAGGAAGTGGCTCCTGTGTACCAGGATCCATCCTGGCCAAGTCCCTTCTCAACATCAGGTCTGGTTGGGGGTGACCTTTACCATGGGGGGATCATCCCCGCCAGGGAAGCACCTATTATATGGGGGACCCAAGGCTGAGCTTGGGACTCAGAAATGGCTCCAACCTATGGGCTGCCCTGCTCTGGAGGAGCTGGGGGCATCAGACAAGTGGCATTCACACAAGTGGCTGAGACCTATGGGCTGCAGAAACTCAGAGCAAGGAACACTGCCCCCCTCCCCAACCTCCTTCGTGAACTTCATGAAGGAAGGGACATAGGCACTGGATCCTAAAGGGTGAGCAGGAGTCAGCAAAGTAAGAAAAGGAACTTGAGGCTATAGGAAGCGACTTGGCAGACACAGGAAAAGTCCTGAAGTGCAGTGGGGTTCGGGAGGACAAGCAGGAACTAAGGCGAGGGCCATGGGAGGAAACTAGAATGCCATTCTTGCATTTATCTGGAGATCAGTGGGGAGCCAGGGATGCCTGCTGAATGGGAAGGTGATGTAGTCAGAACCCTGGATGGCTGGGTCTCCATTTCTGCTTCAACCAAGCATGGCGTCAGGCTCTGTCACAAGTCCTGGTCCAAGTCACACTGCTGTATACAGAGGGGCTGGGCTGGAGTCCAGACTCAGATACAACTCCTGGGTAGATGAGGAAGGGATGCCCAGCCAGCCCACCTGGCAGGGAGGCCTCCAGCCGCGTCACTCTCTCCTCCAGCTGCTTGCTTGCCTCTGCCCACTCCCATGGAAACTCTGACATCCAGCCCTCTAGCTGCACAAGCAGACAGATGCCAGAGCCAGGGGTTCCAAGGCCTCCTCTTCAGATTGCCTGAGCCCTGCCCTGTCCTGCTACTGTGAACACCAAGACCCCGAGGTGGGTCCAGAGCTGCTTGCTGAGGCCCCAGCCTGGGTGTCCTCAGGGTACAGCTTAGCCACAGCCTCTCTAGCCCAGACCCCTCTCCCACCACGCGCCTGGAGGGGAAACATATTGTTGGATCTGGGCTTTGAAGGACAAATATGAATTTAATGGGCTCATGGTGGGGAAGGCAATTGTCCGGGGCCGAGGGGATAGTGTCAGTCAGGTATAGAGGTGGGAAAGCCCTGAACATATTCAGGGGACTGAGAATTAAAATAAAATTAACAAACAAATGAATTCATAAATCATGGCTAAATTCATTGTGCACCTAGTACATGCCCATTCTGTACCTACTACTGTTCTGGGTATTTCCATGGGTCATCACTTCTTTTTTGGGGGGAGGGTTTTGGTACTGGGGATCGAACTCAGGACCGTGCACTTGTGAGGAGGCAGGGTGCCGCTGAGCTAAATCCCCAGCCCTTTTTTTGTTTTGTTTCCTTTTGAGACAGGGTCTCACTGTGCAGTTCAGGCTGGCCTTGAAATCACAGCGATCCTCCTGCCTCAGCCTCCCAAGTGCTAGGATTACAGGTGGATCATCTCATTTAATCCTCACAACAATCCAGCAATGCAAGTACTTCATCTTCCCCTTTTTTTGGGTACCGGGGAGGCAGGCCCCTTTTTTGTTTTTGAGACAAGGTCTCTATGTAACCCAGGGTGGCCTCGAATTCCTGGTGATGTTCCTGCCTCCGCCTTCTGAGTCTTGTGATTATAGGCATACACCATCATACCCAGCTCATCTTCCTTTTTAACAGATAAGGAAACTAAGGGACAGAGAATTTAAGAAACTAGCCCAAGGACATACGCTGGCTGTTGCCTCCAATGCCTGGGGTTTGTTTTGTTTGTTTTTTCGCCACTGAGGCTTGAACCCAAGGCCTTGGCCCTGAGCTACATCCCCACCCCTTTTTTAATATATTATTTTTATTTTGAGGCAGGGTCTTACTAAGTCACTAAATTGCCCAGGCTGAGCTCAAACTTGCAATCCTTCTGTTTCACCCTTCCTCCCAGAGTGCTGGGATTACAGTCATGAGCCACCACCTCCAGCTTAAGTCTGGACTCTTAACACCCATCATACAAAGATTTGATTTGAGAAGGGACGGCTGGGGTCAGATGAGGAAATGCCTTGAAGATCAGGATCAGAGACCTGGGCCCAAACTAAAGCTTGTCCTTAATAATAATGGTCTCTAGGGCTAGGGATTTAGCTCAGTGGTGTCACCACCTGCCTTGCAAGCAAAAGGTCCTGAGTTCAATCCCCAGTACCAAAAATAAATAAATAAATAAATAAATAATGATGGTATCTGAAGTACATCACGTGCACCAGACAGCACCGGTGATGCTCCGGACTATTTTATCAAACCTTCCTGGAGGGCTGGGGATATAGCTCAGTGGTTTTGCCACCTGCTGTGCAAGCGCAAGGACCCCAGTTCGATCCCTGGTACCAAAAAACAAACAAACAAACCTTCCTGGAATCTTGGAAGGCTGGAACTACTGACCCATTTCACTGAAGAGGAGCATAGAGGCCCAAAGAGGGTCACATCCATTCCCCATGGGTAGGAAGTGAAGGGGGCATGATCTGTACCCAGCTCTGCCCAGCCCCCAGGAAGCCAGTGCCTTGCACACTTGGGCCTCCTGGAGCCCTGGCGCTTGCTTCTCCTTCCACGGCATTCCCACCTGTACTTCTTTAACCCATGTGGCACCAGGGCAAGGCAAGGCTGAGCAAAGAGTAGACAGCTACTCCCAAAAGCCTCAGATGCTGCCCACAGTGCACCAAGGCTGGGCCCAGCAGGTGTGCCAGGGCAGCACCCGAGTCCACGTCAATGGGACTCTGTTCTTACCTCCAGCCCCAGTCCTCCCTAATCCCCTCCTCATGTCCCTCCTCTGGCGATATCTCCCTTTCACACAGAATGTGCCACTGGCAGCTAAATCCCAAACCAGACGTGGGTGGAACAGTCTGGATCCCCTGTCCTCCAGTAGTTTCTGAGGCTCCCCAGACAGCTGGCCAGACCCTAGATGTCCTGCTCCATTCCAAGTCTCCAAGCCCTGGTGCCAAGGGCCACAAGTGGACAGTCAGCTCTTCCCAGACATGAGGCTTTCAGGGTATGGAGAGGGAGAATCTCCATTTCTCAGCCCCAACTCTGGGCTACGAGTTTTATTTTAAAACTCATGGGGCCTGCCAGGCATGATGGCACATATCTGTGATCCCAGCACTCAGGAGGCTGAGGCAGTTGGAATCACTGTGAGTTCCGGGCAAGCATGGGCTACATAGTGAGTTCAAGTCCAGCCTGAACTACACAGTAAGACCCTCTTTCAACGACCCCCCCCTCCAAATCATAGGGGCAGACGAGGTGATGTATTGATGTATGCACATAATCCCAGCACTTGGGAGGCTGAGGCTGGAAGACAGCCAAGTAAAGGCCCAGCCTGGGCAACTTAGCAAAATGTTATCTCAAAATGAAATAAAAAAGAGCTGGGGGCGTGGCCAGCACTCAGTGGATTCAACTCCCAGGACCAAATATTTTTTGTGGGCTAAGAGAACTACTCTAGAGACCATGCATTCTCATCCCAGCAAGTTCCCTTACCCATCTGTGGCCTGGCTTCTTCCATCAGTGAAACGGGATCAGCTCGCACTCCATAGAGCCCTTGAGAGGGTTAGACAAGCTTTGTGTATCCAACTTAGAGCAGAGCTTGGCCTACAGAAACCCTCAGTAAATGTTCACTATTATTACTATAAGTATCATCCCTGTGTTACCGCCCAGCGGCCCCAGGGGTATTTTATATAAACCCCATTTTATAGATAAGATGAAACTCTGAGAAGACATTTACCCATGTGTATCAGCTAGCCAGAGGCAGATGGTCCAAGAGTTCAGTTCCAAGCTGAGTGAGTCCAAGATGTTGAGGCCAGCCCTCACTTCCCCTGCTGAGGCACAGTGTACCTAGGGGTCCTCTGCACCCCCTCAGCCCCTCCTGCCTGATCCCAGGGGTTCTGCCTCCACCTCAGCCCTGCTGCCACTACCGCTGCAGGAGGGGGTTCTGCATTCCTGGCTAAGCAGCTGGATTTGCTGTGCTCCTGGAACTATGAAAAGAATGTTTGCCACGAGCTGAGCCGTGGTCGCCCGTCAGGGAGCGTGGCCTGGAGGGCCCACGCAGAGCTGTGTGGCAGCCAGCACAGTGGGAGAGGAGGCCAGACAGAAGGGAGGAGTCCCGTCAGGAGGGCTGTGGACACTGGATGAGGTAAAGGCCAAGGAGCCAGCCTCTGAGATCTTTCAGGAGTGAGAAAAGGAGGCCTCCACCCTCAGCTCATTTCTCCTTCCCACAGGCTGTAGAGAAGGCCAGGCCCTCACCACTGGCCCATCTCATGGACGGGACTGGGAGACTCAGAGGAAAGATTGCCTGGGATCACACAGCAGCCAGGGGCAGAACTGAGACCAGAGGCCAGGATGCTAAGCTGACTCCTTCCTAGAGGCTGTCATCCCTCACAGGGACCACCAGGGACCACCACAGGCTCTGAGATACTAGAAAATACCGCCCTAGCCCTCACTGTTCCGGCTCTCTTTGGGCCTGGCTTTCCCTTCCCTGTCATTCCCCTTGCTGCCCACCTACCCCATAAAACACTTTCCACTTTCCAAACACCTGACACACTGTGGATGCCCAACAATTAAGTCTCCATTCCTTTCCCACTAAGCCAAGTCCTGAGGAGAACAGTGGCCCAGGTCAGTGGGAAGGTCAGGAGTCAAGTGTTCTCACAGACCTGGGAGTGAACACTGGGCAGCACCAACCTCCCCGAGCCTCCACTTACCCCTCTGCTAAGTGGGCTGCCCATCCCTGCCTTTGCAACCTGTTTCAAGGATGAGATAAGTAACATAGGACTCGGGACACAAGAAGTTCCCAAGAAACTAGTTGTTACCCTTCCCTCAAGGGGGCTGAGACAGGAATGAAGTTAAAGAAGCTCCAGTGTTGAGGGTCCCTCCACCTCAGGTCCCGGGTGGCCCTGTGAAGCACAGACAGCAGCCTTGAGGAGGAAGGGGCCTTCAGCCCAGTGTCCTGGCCTCTGGTCTCAGGTCTGCCACCACCTGCTGTGTGACCTGGGGTGATCTTTCCAGTCATACCAGCCTGGCCCTCCCCATGAGGCATCAGCCCTCTGCCACACTTCCATGTGGGCTTTTCTCTCCAAGGCCAGGAATCCTGCCCACCCTGGCTGCCTGGGACAGTCACCCTTCCATTCAAAACTTTTCAAGAATCTGAATGGAGGCCAGGTCTTCTCTAGTCCACTCCCAGGGTCCAGACAGGTGGGACAGACGCTGATGAGAAATCTTGGTGAAAGTTCTAGGTGCTACCCTCTAAGTGCGACATGGGACCACTCCTCACCTCTCTATAGGCTAAATGACCCTGGAGACAAACACTGACATTCCCATTTTGTAGACAGGGAAACTGAGGCACAGAGCTGGGAAGTACCAGGTCTATCTGACTCCAAGGGCTGGCTCTGCTCCACAGTGCTCATGCTGCCTTGCCTTCCCTCGAGATCTATGTCCACACCCACCCGCCCTGGCAATGCCCACAGAGCACAGCGGGTCTGGAATTGTCTTCCTGGAAGCATGACATCGTGTCTGATGTCTGGGCACACGTGTGCACACTCTGACCTTGCATACCCACCCAGGAGTCTATACATACCCAGGCCTCCCAGCCACTCCCCTCCCAACTCCAGGCCACACTCAACTCCCAGCCTCCAGTAGCTGTAGCTTCTCAGATCCCAGGGACCAAACCCACATCTCCCCTGCACCTGCCTCCTCTGGGGATGGGCCACAACCACCAGAGCAAGGCTCTTAGTCTACCCTCTCCTCACTCCTCTCCATCTACTTCCTCCTTTCATCCCCATGGCAACGACCCACTTCAGCCCCCTTCACCTTCACCTTCCTCCTCAAACTACCCAAAGTCTCCCTGCCTCTAAGATTCTCCCCTTCGGCCTCAGACCCCAGAGCAGCCAGAGTGGCTCCTGGCCTGTGTCACTCTGCAGCTCACACTGTCTTGGGACGAGGTCCTTGGGCACCTGACCTCAGAGCAGTGTGAGGCCCTCCCACTTCCCACCGTGTGATCCAAAGGCACCTCACTCCTCACTGTCCCTGAGAGACCTTGTAGCTCCCCACTTCCCCACTCAACATGTGCTGCTCCTCCACTCAGGACGTCCCCCACTCCTACCATCTGCACCTGTCACAAATCTCATTGTCCCTGAAAGCCTTAAATAGTAACCTGCTGGGTGTTGCCATCTATCCCTGATTCTACTCCCTCATACCCCTTCAGTTTGGTTTGCATGGTGCCTCCCCTTGGGGACCTCAACAGGTGCCCTGAGACCACAGCTGCACCCGATAGGAGAGGCCACTGTGCCTTTCTGGTTTTTCTACCCCAATTCTGTAAGTGCCTTGGGCCACTTCCCTACAATGGCCCACGCCTGCCACTGGGGGCCTCTGGAGTGAGCTGGGGGCAGGACAGGGATACGGCTCAACCAAGCTCAGAGCAGAGGAAGTAGTGGGGTTTGGGGCTCAGGCTGACAGCCCTCTTTGCATTGCTATCTTTGCTATTTCTCCTCTGTCTCACTAACACATTCACTTCCTCTGAGGCAGAGTGCGGTGGACAAATTGAAACTGGAGAGACAGACCCTAGTGAACCTGCAGAGTGAGTGTGCGTGTGAATGCTATCCTGTCTGAGAATGTCTGCATGGGCCATGTGGGGCCTGCCATGTGTCTGTAGGAGTCTTGGTGAGTATGTGTGCGTGTGCGTGTGCGTGTGTGTGTGTGTGTGTGTGCGCGCGCATGTGTGCGGTATCAGCCTATCACTGTTGGAGCATTTGTGGTGGTATGGGTTTCAGCAGGGGATGCTCTTGTGTGTCTAATGAATGTTTGATTCAGCGTGTGATTGTGTGTGACTCTCAGCAGGAGGGAATGTAGCTGTGCATGACTCTGTGTATCTGTGGTTTGTCCTCATTATCTTTTGGGGGTGACTGTGTGTCCAAGGCTCTGTGGGTGTTCACAGGTCCAGCAGGAGACCAGCAGGGGCATCTATGCGCTGATGAAGACTGCCAGCTCTTCTGTGTCTCCCCTAACTCCTCCCCTCAGGGTCAGTCTCCCTTAGCTCAGTGCCCAGAGAGGGACCCCAGCTGCCTGACTCCCCAGCATTGCTGTCTCACTGCCCCTGGGCCTCCAACACCCATCGCTGCAGCTGTGGGAGACTTCCTTTGATAAGGGCAGCAGCCAGGAGGAAGACTTCTGACCACCAGGGCACCTTGCAGGAGACCGGTGCACTCCTGTGTCGGAACTAGCATGTTCTCTCCCACATCAGTGTCTCATGCACAGGTATGTGTACACACACACACCCGTGTACACACACACACACAACTCAGAGGGGTCTGTTCTTCCCCACTGGGAATTCCTGGGCCCTGGGCTATAGAGCAAGGTCTTCTACTGGGGACCTCCTAGGGCCAGGGTATCTCCAGCCCCAAGGCAGAGACTCTGGGCTACTGTCCTGGAGTCCTGGGACCCCAGCCCCTCTTCTGAGCCTCTGCAAGTCTCCTGGAACTGGGGGAGGTGCAGAGCCTCTGGCAGGGACATTCCTCAGACCCTCAGTCTCCAGTTGGGGTGGAGGGCTGCCAGGACATCTAGAGTAGGAGCGATGTGGGGCAGAGGCAGGAAAACAGGTTAACTGGGTGGTCATGGCAAACGAGAAAGGCCGAAAGCCAGGTGGTGGTGGCCTCGACCATCCCGCAAAGGAGAGCTGCTATTCCCATTTTACAGGTGGGGAGCGAGATTCGGGGAGTGACCTGCCCAGAGCCACATCTTGGGGATTCCACCGCCACGCCACGGCTGATGCCTGAGACCTCGCTCCTCACTCCTGCTCCTCGGAGAGGAAGGGAATGGGGGGCTTCGCCTGGGTTTCTGCCTTGGGTGGGTGGGAGGGGGGGAAACATGGCGCGGGACAGCGGGATGGCCTCCCCCGCCTAAGCCTCCCCCCCCCCCCGTCCGAGGCGCCTGCGCTGCACTCCGCCCCTCCGTCCAGCCGTCCGCCCCCACTCAGCCCCTTACCTGCAGGGCAGCCTCGAGGGCGGCCCCGGCGCAGGCTCCGGCTCTGGCTCCGGACGGCGAGGGGCGTCGGGTCCGCGTCGCTCTGCAGCCGCGGGGGAGGGCGCGGCGCGCGGGGCGGGGCCTCACCGCCTCTTTCCACCGCTTCGGCCAAGGCCTCCGCCCCGCCCAGCCTCTGACGACGCCTCCCCCGACCCCACTCCGGGACCCCCACAGCCCTGCGGCGTCCCCACGCCACCCACCCCACGCCAATGTCTGGGCCCAGGGTGTCCCAAGACCTGTGCCCTGGAGGGCTGCCTGTTTAGGGCAAACGGTGACCTATGCCGAGCTAGGAGGACAGCAGGGAAGGGTCAAGAGGGCCAGTCATGATGGGCTCACTCCCACTAGGAAGCTAAGAGCTGATGTGGTCACAGAGGCAGCCAGGGGCCATGCTGAAGCTGATTAGACTTTACCTGCAGGGAAATAGGGAGCCACGGAAGACTCTGGAGGGATCAGGTTTGTGCTTTGAAAGAGCACCCCAGCCAGGCATGATGGTGCATGCTTGTAATCCCAGCACTTGGGAAGCTAAAGCAGGAGGATCACTGCAAGTTTGAGGGCAGCCTGGGCTACATAGTGAGTTCAAGGGCAGCCTGAAATAAATAGTGAGGCCCTGGCGAGAGAGAGAGAGAGAGAGAGAGAGAGAGAGAGAGAGAGAGAGAGAGAGCGCAAGCGCAAGAGCACCCTGGCTGCTTTGTGGAGGAGATGGAGGTGAGGAGGTACTGGAATGAGTAGTCCTGGCATGGTCCTGTGAAGTGGAAGGAGGGAGTGGAGGGAGGGACAAGAATGAGAAGAGCTGAGGGGGTGAGTAGGCAGGATTTGGATGTTGGGGTGAAGGGCCTAGAGAGAGGAATCAAAGAGAGCAGCCCTCTCTCTGGTTAGGCCTTGGGGAGGGGGCCCAGGAGAAAGGGTGATGGGATTCATAGAGGGTGACACTGATACATCCAGAAGCAGAGTTCTGGGCTAGAGATTTGGAGGCTTTGGTGTGCAGCTGGCAGCTGATGCCAAGGGGGTAAGCAGTGGGCCCAGGGAAGCAGTGCCAGGACAGGCCAGGTCATGGCATAAGTCAGTACACATCCACAGTTAAGGGAGTCTGCAAAGCAGGCTGAGAAGGTGTGGCTGGGACAGTGCAGGAGACCAAGAAGCAGGGTCTCAGAAGGCAAAGCCACTGTTTTTCTAGAAGGCCAGGAACTGCATAGGGCCAAGTGTCACTGAAGAGTGTCCTTTGGGACCGGCAGTGAAAGCCGGTGGTTAGGGTGGGGACAGGGACAGTAGCCAGCTGCAGAGGCTAAAGGAGCACCACGGGGAGGAGGTGGAGGGAGCAAGTGCAGTGGGAAGTTTAGGTGCACTAGTCTAGGAGGGCAGGGGTGAGAAGGAGGCATGTTCCAAGTGTTTAGGAGCAGAGCTCTCCACAGGCCAGCAAAGGGGAGGGAGAGCCCAAGCTGTCTCTGGTAAGGGGCCCTCACCCCTTCCTCCTCCTGCTGCCTGCCCTCCAAGGGCCTCCCACTCTGCTGTCCCCCTGCCAAGGTATACACCAGCCCCGCCACTCCTCAATGGGGCCTCTCACCCTCACCCACCCCCAGAGCCTGGGCCTATTCCATCCCATCCCTCAGATTGGGGGTTGCTGGGTCTCAGTCTTGCCTCCTGCCGGGACAAGCCCAGAGGACCTATAGTAAAGCCAGGCCAGGGCACTGCCTGAGGAAGGGGAGGGGGCTTGGCCTGCAGAGTAGCTAAAGGATCTTGGCAGGGACTGGATAACTGGGTCCTTCCCCGGGCTGGAGTGGAAACCAGGCCCTGGTTGGGACTCAGGTGGGGGCTGAGCATTCTGGGAGGGGACAGGAGCTGAGCAGCAGGGACTAAGGACTACAGGATGGACTCTGCATTTGGATGACTGGGTTTAAATCCAAATGCCACCACTCACCAGCCCCGTGCCCTTGAGCAAACTGCTTAACCTCTGGCACCTCAGTTTTCTCATCTGAAAACCTCTCCAGGCTGTTGTGAGGATTGTGTTTGTTAATCTGCACACAACACTGAGCTCTGTGAGAGGATGGGTCAGGGGAGGGGCCTTGTGAAGCAGGCGGCAAGTAAGGGGCACAGCATGTGGGGAAGGGGCACCTGTGGCTTCGTGCACACAGCCTCACTCACATTCATACTCAGCTGGTCCCTCCTGACTTGCTCCCTCTACTTCTCCTGAGGCCCCTCAGGCCTGGTTCTAAGTGACACCCCTTTCCCAGCTTCCCACTTTTTCCTCCCCTGCCTGTTGCCCCATTCCAGCTTCTTTCAACCAGCTCTGGGACACTGAGGCTCTCTCACTGTAGCCAAGTCCTATGGCCCCTAGTGCTCACTGGCTGTGAGGGGCACACTGCCCCCAGGTGAGCCTCAGTGGCCCAGGTCCCAGTGGAGGCTGAGACAGCGTTGCTGTGACATTGAGGTCTTGTCTCTTTGTCCACCAGTCATTTGCTATGTAAGCCTCAAGACAGGAAACAAGTGTCCTTGAGCCAGAGATTGTGGACTGTCCCACCAAGGCTCACCTCTGGGCTAGGCCTGGCTGCCCACCCCACCACCAGGGGCTTCCACCTTTGGTCTGTCCCTGGTGGAATCTGGATATCAGTGGGTCAACTCTGGCTGTTGACCTCCCAACTACATGGCCTCAGGCAAGTTGCTGCCCCTCTCTGGGCTTAGGTTCACTCATCCATGAGAATCAGAAGTTGGCCAGTGAAGATTCAAGGGCTGTTCTAGGTCTGATCAGGGATATTAAACAGGTAGGTGGTTAAATGGAACCAAACGGTCATTTCTTAGTGCAGCCCCCAGAAGCACCAATGCTGGCACTGCCCAGTGGTCCAGGAAGTGGGCCGAGGAGGCAAACAGACCTAGGTTTGCAGCCCATGCTGCCTCTCTGCGACTGTGGTCAAGCGACCTTGTTTCTCCAAACTTCACACTCCTCCTGTATAGAGGGGGATAATTACAGTGACAATCTCCAATGACAAGAGCTAACACTCACAGGGCTCTTCACCCATGCCAGGCATTATTTTGAGCACTTTACCTGGATTAAATAATTTAATCTTTCAGATCAGTATTATTTGGTTGTACATACCTATTAATCCCAGCTACTCAGGAGGCTGAGGATCACAAGTTTGAGCTCAGCCTGGGCAACATACCAAGACCTTGTCTCAAAATAAAAAGGTCTGAAGAGAACTATAGGCCAATCTCACTAATGAACATAGATGCAAAAAT